TTTTAAAAATAATTATGCTGGTTTGAAAATGTGTGCAATTAAACAACTTTGAAACCACTATTTATGATCCCCTTAGATATTTGGGCACCCGAAATTATATCTCGAAAAAAATAAAAGGTTTTAAAAAAGTAATAAAAGTATTCATATTACGTAGATCACTTGGTAATATGAGCACTTTAAATTTGATCAGAAAAAAACATTATTTTAGTACAAAAGTATCATTTTGACAATAAGAACTAATTTATTAAGTTCTTTAATAAAAAAATTTTCATTAAAAAATCAAGTTTAACATCTCTTTTTATTAAAACAATAATGCGTGAAACCATAAAAATTGGTGTGTAAACCAAAGTAGGTTTTTTTATGAAAAACTGTAGTAGTTACTGTAGAATTTATTTTGTGAACTTGAAAATATCCTTCTTGGACGTAACTTTACCCTGCAAGTTTTCCGCGTTCTATATTCAGTGTTAAAAATAAATTATTATTTTAGTAAAACCACATTGCAATATTTTGTATTTATTTATATATATACTATTTAACGAATCTTTTTCATTTAATTACAGCTATGTAATATTAAGGAATAAAATATATATTAAAAATAAAAATTAAAAATTAATTTAATCATTATAATATAGTGTAGCATGCTAAATGAATACGCTTTTTCAGTTTGACATCAAACATGTTAACAAAAATATCATTCATAGTTATTATTATATATTTTTTTATTTTTGCTAATTATTAAATATATTTGCGACACTATTTTATTTTTGTTCTTGACAACATTCATTAAGTTCTTTTGCGACACTATTCCTTTTTAAGATTTTTGAACGGTCAAATTCATGACAATTAAAGTTTGCAACAATCAAAATGTTGCAACACTATTCCGCCACACCCATTTTTTTACTAAGACTTGGAAGAATATGTAAACTGCAGCGCGCTTGTTTTAAGAAAAACAGGAGTTTTATCTAATGACTTATCTTTAATCAGATTTACCTTTAACAACTGAAGGTTGAAATTGCGAGTAAATCTTTGTTTTTGATCAAACTTTAATATTTGTCATAAAAATTTGTTATACTGTTATTTATAATTGAAAAAAAATTATAAAAGTATAATTATTCTATTAATAATCTAAAAAAAAAAGAGTTATTATAAGTATAAAAATTTAGTTATTGATTTTTCTAAATTTATTTTCACAAGTTTCTTAAATAATTTCTTATTTTTTATTATATATAAATATCTTTTCAACACTGTATTAGTAATATATTTATAAATATTATTAGGAAAAATAAACGTACTGTAAAAGACAATGTAAAAATATGTTTGTATCTGACATTTTAATAAAATTATTGTAAAAATAAGTAGTGATTGTAAAAAATATGTAAAAAATCTTATAAATATGTGTTTGTATTAACGGCAATGCAAAGCGGTTATTGTTTAAAAAAACATTTGGTCATCTGCAAGTTTTCCATATGGTATTTACATTGTTAAAGTTAAATAAATATTTTTGTAAAACCATTTTGCAATATTTTTCTTTTTTAATTATGTATTTATTGTTTAACAAACCTTTATTTTGTATTTACAATTTTGTAATATTAAGGAACAAAAAATAAACTTCAACTAAAATTTAAAAATTAATATAATCATTTTAATTTACTGTTGCATCCTAAGTAATTACGTTTTTTCAGTTTGACAACAAACATGTTAAACAAACACAAACTTAGATTTATTATTATTTTTTTAATTTTTGTTACTATTTATAAAATTTATTTGTGACAATATTCCTTTTTTTTTTGTGTGTGTTTTTGACATTATTTATTAAAGTCTATTGCGACACTATTTCTTTTATTGTTCCAGTACTATTCATTAAATTCATTTGTGATACTCTTCCATTTTTTTTCTTTTTGACAAAGTTCATTAAATTCAATTGCGACACTATTCCTTTTCTACATTTTTGATGGTCAAACTTTTGCATCAAAATGTTGCAACACTCTTCCGCCACACCCATTTTTTTACTAAGACCTTGAAGAATATGTAAACTGCAGCGTGCTTATTATAACAAAAACAGGAGTTTTATCTTACGGCTTATCTTAATCAGATATAACTTAAAATAGCTATAGGCTCAGATTAAGAATAAATTTTTGTTTGCGATCAAATTTTATCATTTGTTACAAAAATTTTTTGCATTGTTTTGTATGAATAAAAAAATAAAAGTTTTATTAATCTATTAATATTCTATAAAATAGAGTTTTTATAAGTATATAAATTTAGTTACTGATTTTTTCTAATTTTGTTTGCTACATGTTTATTAAATAATTTTTTATTTTTTATTACATATAAATATTCAGTATTGCATTAGTAATAAATGTGTAAATATTATTCGGAGAAAGAAAAAAAATTTACGTTTTTTTTTTTTTTTTGATATTATTCAATAAGTTCATTTGCGACACTTTTCCTTTTTTGGTGTTGTTTTCGACACTGTTCGTTAAATTCATTTGCTACAACATTTCCTTTTTTTTTTTTTTGCCAATACTATTCTTTAAATTCATTTGCGACACTTAACTTGTTTTTGTTTTCGATATAATTCAATAAGTTCATTTGCGTCACATTTCCTTATTTTTTGTTTTCGACACTATTCGTTAAATTCGTTTGATACAATTTTTTTTTTCGAAACTGTTCATCAATATTGTCAGTGACATTATTCTCTATTCTGTTATTGGACAATTAATAATGCAACAATTTGCGACACTATTCCTTTTATACATTTTCGACAATCAAATTTGTGACAATAAAAATTTGCAACATTAAAGTTTTTGCGACACTATTCCGCCACACCCATTTTTTTACTAAAACCTCTAAGAATTTGTAAACTCCAGCGTGCGCGTTTTAACAAGATGAGGTTTTTGTTTTACTGCATATCTTTAACTTGATTAAATTTAAAATGCCTTAAAGTTAAGTTAGTGAATAAAGCTTCTTTTTCGATTAAATTTTAATATTGGTTATAACAATTTGTTTATTTTTATTTATCATAAAAATAAAATTTATAAAATTATAGTTAAAACCGTTATGATGTATTGTTGCACTCTAATTTAATACGCTGAGATACGCTTCTTTATCATTATTATTATTATCTTTCGAATAATTAAGGGTTTACGCTCTATGACTTCCATTGCCTAAAAAGCTTCTTTTTCGATTAAATTTTAATATTGGTTATAACAATTTATTTATTTTTATTTATCATAAAAATAAAATTTATAAAATTATAGTTAAAACCGTTATGATGTATTGTTGCACTCTAATTTAAAACGCTGAGATACGCTTCTTTATCATTATTATTATTATCTTTCGAATAATTAACGCTTTACGCTCTATGACTTCTATTGCCTAAAAAGATAATATTTCTATTAAAATTGTGCTTTTAAGTCGATGTTAGTATTTTTATTGCAGTTTTTAATTTTTGCTTCGCATGTTAAACATAAGCTCTTTGCGTTAAAGTAGTTCTAATATTCTGGCTCTGCATCTCAATTTAAAGGGAAAGAAAATTGTGTTACTCTGTTTAGTATTTATTGCACAAAACTTTAATGTCAAAAAAGAGTTTAAAAAAGTTTTAATCTAACATTTTTAGTTTTAGTAAGAAACTAAAAGTTTTTGTTTGTAGTAAAAAAAGTTTCAAACCAAAAGCTATTACTTACTTATTTAACTTTCCGTAAATGTTGTTTCTAAAAGCTAATGAATTTTTTTTCTGAGAATAAAATAAACTTATTTTCAGTTAATTTAGTTTAGAAAACTTTAAATAACGAGAAAACTAGACACAGAAAACGCTAAAAATTTTACACGTAACGAAAAATAAATCTTAATAAGCAATTAAAAAAACTTATAGTTTTATATCATTTTAACCTAAACAATAGTAAAAAATAGTTTAAGTAAAAGCATGCAAAAAAGATTTTATTACATTTTAAAAGTTTATTTTACATTGATACAATTATTCAAACAATAAAAACAAAATAATATTTTTTAAAACACATATAATGTTTTTTTAATAATTCTATTTTACATTTGTTCAGAGATGTAGTATTTTAAGGTACTACAATAGTGTGCTCCCTTTGGATAACTTTATCCTATAGAACATTTGTTATATGTTCTAATAAAATAAATCATTTTAATATATAATATTGTTTAAATTAACTTTTATATTATGAACTATAAAAAATTTTGCTTACGTGTTCCAGCAACATAAGCTATTAGAGTACAAATGATGAAAAGCCTCATTGTGAAAAAAAAAAGCTTCAAGTCTTTTTAATTGATAGCTGAAGGATTTTAAAAGTTCACCTTTCGTTTGCGTGTATCGTTGAATAAATGCGAATACTTGAAAACGCCTTTAAAGCGTTACACTTTGAATTGTGGGATCGGCTTAAATAAATGTCGTACAATGAAACTTTAATCTTTTATGATTTGTGCTACATGAAATTAAAGAGTTTTACAACTAAAAAGTTTGAGTATTACCATATGATTAAAAGAAAATGCTCTAAATGCAGTTGTCATGGAACATTTGGAAAGTCAAAATCATTCTTTCCCACAACCATACGGAAACATTTTTAAAAGTAAAAGAAATATATATTGGACACTTTACTTTCAAGATTTATTACCAGATTAATTTACTTTAACTAAAATCAAATATTTATTATTTTTAGTGGATATGTTTTTATTAATATATTTATCTTAGTAAAATAAATCAAATTAAACCATACACTTGCAGGCAAGGTCTTTAATATACTTGGTCTGCGCACTCGCAAACTATTTTTTAAAAACAATACGATAATAAGGCCGATAAAAAACTAGTTTAAAAAAAAAATGTTTATAGTGAAGGTAAAAATTTAAATTTATAATCTATATTATAAACTGTATTATTTAAAACTTGACAGAGAATGCTGTACTTATGGGTGATAATCTAGGTGTAATACAGATCCTGATCAACAATCCATTTTTTCTTTTCCTCTTGATAGCAG